CTCCTTTGTCCCTATTGAATCAGCTACCAGCCTCTTTATGGCAAAATCTCCAACAGGTATTGGTAAAATTGACAGTGCATCTATTGAGATTCAAACATATCCCTCAAAAGCTCTCCCCAGAATTAATCAATCCCCTATAAGTAAAGAAGCCCTTCAAGGTGGAAAGCCCACAACAGAAGATCACCAGGCTCGAGGCCTCATTACCCCTTGTACTAGTCCCTATAATACTGTTTCACCCGTGAGAAAACACAAGGGCTGAGGGTGGAGGTTGGTCCAGGACCTCTGAGCAATACTGTTCTCCTTCAACACCCTGTTGTTCCCAACTCTCACACATGACTAACAGCCATCCTACTGGAAGTGAATTCTTTACTATAATTGATTGGAGCAGTGCATTCCTTTGTATTCCAGTTGATGAAGCTAGCCCCTGTGCCTTCACCTGGGAAGGAAAACGATTCCCCTGACAGTAATGTCTCAGGGTTTTACCGAGTCTTTCTTATTTCTCACAAATCCTGAAGACTGATCTGGGGAATAAAGGTCCCTAGGGGTTCTACTTTGTTGCAGTAGGTGGATGATTTGCTTCTTTGCTCTCCCTCCCGAGTCTCCTCGCAGGAAGACAGCATCCACTTGCTAAAACTTTTAGCCTTAAGTAGACATAAGGTCTCCAAAGAGAAATTGCAGTTTGCCCACCTCCAGATGTGATATTTAGGGCATCTGATATCAGAACAAGGGCTACACCCAGATCCAAATAGGTTTCACGGTGTCCTAACTTTCCTGAAACCCAAAACTAACTGTCAATCGCAAGGTTTTCTCGGGCTAGTTGGTTGTTGCTGAAGCTGGATTCCAAATCTCTCTCTTACGGCCAAACTTCCGTGTGTTTTACTAAAGAACAAAAACCCTGACCCAACTGTACGGGAAAACCAGATGACACAGGCGTTAGGTCCTTAAAGGAGGGTTTGATGAACCCACCTGCCCTCGGACATCCCAATTATCAAGTTCCCTTTTTCCTTTTTGTATTTGAAAATGGAGGGAATGCCCTTGGGGAACTCACTCCAAAACACGGGAACCACCATGGACCCATGGGCATTATAGCCAGCGACTGGACCCTGTGGCACGGGGACACCCCCCCTTGCCATAGAGCCATTACTGCCGCTGCTCTTTCTTCGGTCAAGGCCACCAAGGAAATCATTGTGGGGTCCCCTTTAACTATCTTTGTAGCTCATGCAGTAGAAGCCCTCCTGAATTCTCATGTTTCGGCCAGCTGCCCCACCTCCTACGAATTCTTTTTGTTAACTGCTCCTCACATAACTTTCTTTGCAATAACCTTAACTCTGCCACTCTTCTCCCCTCTGTTACTGATGAAGCCCCTCACAACTGTGTAACACTGACAGATTACCCCGTGATCTGCAAGAAATTCCTTTGAGTGACACCGACTTCTCACGGTTCACTGATGGTTCTTATTTAAAAAGTGACAATGGCAAATATGGTTCTGGGTATACTATTGCAACTCCTTTTGATACCATTGAGGCAGCACCTTTACCTATGGCTACTACCAACAGACTGAATTATACACTCTTACTTGGGCTTGTACTTTAGCCAAGGGCAAAACTGCCAACATTTACACTGATAGAAGAGATGCTTTCAGAGAAGCTCATGATTTGGGGATTCTGTGGAAGCGACATGGCTTCCTTACCTCCAGTGGAAATAATTAAAAATGGCTCCTACGTTCAGGAAGTATTGGATGCTATACTTTCACCTGCTGCTTAGCTATTGTTAAGATCCTGGCGCATTCTGAACTTGACTCTCCGGAAGCTAAAGGGAAATCACTTTGCTGATACTTCTGCAAGGAAAGCTGCCCTTAAAGGAGCCCACAGCAGCCAACCTCTGTCATGGTCGAAAGGAGTATTTCCCTAAATGATAACTTAGGAAAACTGACTGGAGAAGCCCAAAAATGGGCCTCAGAAAAGGAAAAACAAGAGAGGAAATTCAGCAATTGTTAGTTCAATAAAAAGGAAAAGCTCTGGTTCAGACAAAAAAAAAAAAACCAAAAACAAACCCCAGTTCTACTGGAGACTCAAATTCTCACTCCTAACCACTGCACGTGCGTTAAACCACCAGCATACTGACAAGATGATAGCATTCATGATTCGCTAATGGTAGGGAAATATCAACAAGGCTGCAAACAGCACCTCCTTCACTTGCCCTGCTTGTCCAAAATACAATTCAGGGAAGCCTGCTCGTACTGCTCCCAGATATTTTAAACTGCCTAATGAACCATTTGAGGTTTGGCAAATGGATTTCATACAACTTCCCCCGTGTCACGAAAATAAATATGTTTTAGTCATGGCCTGTGTGTTTTCTCACCGGTCTGAAGCCGTCCCCTGCAGACAGGCTACTGCCTCTTTTGCAGCTAAAGTCATTTTGGAAGAGATTATCCCTACTTGAGAAACTCCTCTTGAACTTCACAGTGATTGAGGAACCCACTTTACCGGTCAGGTACCTTGGCAAGTTTGGCTGGTTTTCGAACACCTTCACTGAGCTTACCACCCCAACCGTCTGGTTTAGTTGAATGCACTAACAGCATTATTAAGACTCGATTGGCAAAATTGATCTCCAAAGACCTTGGCCAAAAGCATTGCTATTGGTCCTTCTAAATCTCAGATCCACCCCCTTTGCAACTCATAAACTCTCACCCTTTGAGATAGTCACCGGACACCCAATGCACTTGGATCCTCCTCTTTTGACCCACAGCTGATAAAAGGAGATGTACTCCAGTGTTGCAAAGGCCCAACTGCTTCTATTAAAAATAACTACGTTTTGGGGCCGGCCCAGTGGCGTAGTGGTTGAGTTCACGTGCTCTGCTTCGTTGGCCCGGGTTTCGCTGGTTTGGATCCCGGGCATGAACCTATGCACCGCTCATCAAGCCATGCTGTGGCAGGCGTCCCACATATAAAACCAAGGAAGATCGACACAGATGTCAGCTCAGGGCCAACCTTCCTCAGTAAAAAGAAGAGGATTGGCAGCAGATGCTAGCTCAGGGCTAATCTTCCTCAAAAAAACCCAAACCAACTATGTTTTGGTAGAGCAATCTTTTCACAGTGCACTCCAGGGAGATGAAGACCTTAAGCCTCACATCTTGCAACCTGGAGATTTCTTCTATTGGAAAAGACACCTCTAGAAGGACTCTTTTAAAATTTTTTCAATTTTTTTCTTTTCTGAGGAAGATTGGCCCTGAGCTAACATCTGTTGCCAATCATCTTTTTTTTCTTTCTTTCTTTCTCTCCCCAAAGCTCCAGTACATAGTTGTATATCCTAGTTGTAGGTCGTTCTAATTCCTCTATGTGGGATGCTGCCACAGCATGGCTTGACGAACCATGCTAGGTCCGCGCCCAGGATCCAAACTGGAGAACTCCAGGCCACCAAAGCGGTGCACGTGAACTTAACCACTTGGCCATGGGGCCGGCCCCTAGAAGGACTCTCTTCAACCTTACTGGAAAGGCCTCCATCCGGTACTGCTAACTAACTCTTGTGCCGCAAAACTCCAGGGAATAGACTCTTGGATTCATGTGTCACAGGCAAACAAAGCACAAACCCTGACTCCACCCGCACATTATCTGGTGACCTAAAAGTAAAGATTTCCCCAAATCGAAGCAGTCCATGTCTGATGAGACATCCTTCCTGAGATGTCCAGACCAGGTCTGTTGGAAGTTTGTCTGCCAAATCTTTGATGATGATGATGACATACACTTCAGATGATCTCCAACGCCTATGAGCTTGGTGACATGTGGACTTTAGGGGAAAAAAAGCCTGAGAGTTCTCCCTCCTGCCCCTTCTTGTTACTTGAATGTGACTTCAATAGCTTTCCAATCTGCGCACTTTCTCTCTGATGTGGGACATGACACCCAGGAAAGGTCCTTCTTGGCATCGAGGCGAAAAACGGCCAATGAAACTGGGGGCCAGCCTAGTGGCATAGTGGTTAAGTTTCTGTATTCCACTTCAGTGGCCCAGTGTTTATGGGTTCAGATCCTGGGCATGGACCTACACACTGCTTATCAAGTCACGCTGTGGCAAGCATCCCACATAGAGAGGAAGATGGGCACAGATGTTAGCTTAGGGCCAATCTTCCTCAAAAAAAAAAAAAAGGCCAATGAAACTGGAAAAACCTGACTCTTGATCAGCGATGCTTTTAGAGAAAGATCTTGATGAAGAAGGGATATGTGAAAATTAATAAACAGAAAGCTCATTTTAAATGGATTTGGGAGGCCAGTAGGGAGAGCTCTCATGCCCTACGATGATGGCCGGCCAAGTGCAACAGAAAGAGGAGAGACTTCACCTTCTTGCCCAGCAAGAGCTCAGCCAATGAGAGACTGTTACAACTCAGCCACTGAAAAACCACTATACTTTGAACTCTCAATTCCTCCAATGGACTCTGTCTACAATAGCCCTCCCAACTTCCTCTTCCCTTCTACAAAAGAGTTTCTTCTCCCCTTGTTGCTTGGAACTTGCACGTGGCTCACGTGGTTGCAGGGCCCAAATTGCAATTCTTTGTTGATCCCGAATAAACCCATTTTTGCTGGAGAAATAACTGGTCGTCTATTTGTTTAAGGTCACCAGACCAAAATTCAACTCATAATCTTTTCAATAAAATCTGTATCCCTTAGTCTAGAAAGTGGTACCATCCTCCATTCAATTCTCCAGTTAAACTTCCTCTTCCTCTCATCCATCACCCCTCCCAATCAGTCGTCAAGCCTATATATTCTATCTGGGATCTCTTCACTCTCGGACTGCCGCAGGTCGACTCTCTCATCAGGACCCTCCTCCGCCCGGCGTCCAAACGAATTCCCGCGCGAGGTGCCGACTCGCGAGGACCGAGCGGCGCCGCTGAGGTCTCTGGGAGGGAGGGGCCTAGGGCAGCCGCTGGGCGTTCTGGGCCGGGTCTCCAGGCGGCGCTGTGCGAAACCTGGACTGAAAGGGCGTCGGCTCGGCGTGCTCTTGCTGGTCGTGGGGAGAGTCCGGGAGCAGTTCCGAGGCAGCGGCGGAGCCGGGTGGAGTCGGGGGTTCGGAGGAGTGTCCGAGGTTCGGGGAAGGCCGGCGAATGGGGGTGGCGGGCTGAGAGGCCGCGTTTGGGACCCGTCCCCGCCGTTGCCGCGTCCCCCTTCCCCTCCTCTCCGGGTGGGGGCGGCCCCTGGGGGTTCTGGACCTTTCGCCCTCGGAAGACCCCGCGGTCGGCTGGGATCCCTTCCTGAGGCCGGCGGCCCCTGGCTGTCATTCCTGGCTCCTCCAGGACATTGTAGGAAGTGCTCGGTAAACTTTGGGGTATGCATGGAACTCCCGGGGAGACAGTGGTCTGGGGCCCGTGGGAAGGTGCCCCGCTGAAGGCAAACGTCCTGGGAGCCCACAAGTCCGGGCTGCACCGAACAAGTGAGGATGTTGAGGGTGAAGGCCGTGGCAGTTCAGAAAGCCGTGGGAATCCATCAGAGAGGAAAAGCCTCTGGCTGACCTGTGGTCTCTGCCCCAGCTTCTGGGCTGAGGTTGGGGCTGGAAAGGGAACTGACATCGGAGCTCCTGGGGGACCTTGGTTATTTTTGACCCTTTTACTTGCAGGGAGCAGGGATTGCATCAAGTAACTGTATCCAGGGGATGGGAAAATGAAAAGTCATGGAGAATTTGCCCCTGGAGAGAGGCAAGCGTTACCTAGGACCTGGGGTGGGCAACAGTCTGTGGAGCAGAGAGGAGGAGCCGCCGCAATGTGAGGGACTGGTCGGGTGACAAAGACCCAAGTGCCGTTCTACCACAGCAAGGCCCAGAGTTGCTAATCTGGATTCTTCCATGCAGACCTGGTCTTTCAGAGCGCCTTTCTTCTCCCCCCAGCCTTGTCGTTTCAGCATTCTGCTTTTCCTTTCGAGAAGGAAGATCAGCCGAGTCCCAGGTGAGTAGAAGTTTCTTCTAAAGTTTAGTCTCATTTGTCAAAGGGAGTAGATGTGCTGTCTCATCTCTGCCTTGAGAAGAGGAAGGAGATCCGCATTTGTTGAGTGTTAATATAGGTCCTGTGTTTTATCACTCAATCTTTTGGGTAGTGAGGACGTTTGGAAGGAGGACTCTAATTTTAAAGATGTGTCAGTAGCCTCAGGAAAACTAAACACTTGCCCAAGAGTACTCATAAGGCAAGTAGCATACTACTAATACTATTGACCTAGTTAGGATCAGGTTCAGAATCCACATCTGTGGGACTCTCAGACTCTTGATACTATACAATGTTTTCCTAACATCTCATTCACTTACCACCTAACGATTTTTGCCACATCTATGTACCTACCCCTGTTGTTAGTCTCATATTTTAAATTTTTTACTTACGTTTATTTAAAAATCAAACTTGTCCTAAGAAACACTATCTATGAAATTATGCATTTGATGGACGCTGTAATAACTTTATATTTATTATAAGATACATCTAAAAATGTTGGTCCTTGTACCCTGTAAAATCATCTTGTGTCAAAAAGATACAAACTGCATTTTGGGACACAAGGCATTGCATCATGCTCTTGCCTGGATTTTTTCTGCATAGGAAGGTCCAGGCAACACATCTAAGTCTAAATTATCCATCCCCAGTATATTGTTTTCTTCCTTTAGATAAATAATTCCACAGAGAATGCCCCCCTTTTGTGTCTTCTCTACAAAACATTTCACTGACCTGTTCAGGGCTACCCTGTTCTCAATGTTGTATGTAAAACAAAGTGTGTACCTTTCAGGAGCTTACTCTGTCTTTGAGGAGTTAATATATACATGTGAAATAATCTGAATCAGTACTGTCCAATAGAACTTCTGTGATCAGGTAAGTGTTCTGTATCTGTGCCTTATAGTGTGGTACTCACTAGCTACATACTATAGCTGCTGAGCACTTGGAATGTGCCTAATGCAACTGGGAAAATGTTTTCAATTTTATTTAATTTTTATAATTTAGATAGCCACGTGTGACTGGTGGCTATCTGTTGAACAGCCCAGGTATAGATATATGAAATAAAATATTTTCAAGGTCAGTTGATTTGGATGTAGTGCCCTCCCCCTGGAAAACCAGCCAACCAACCAACCAACCAACAAAAGTATACATGTTAAATGCCATTTAACTTTAGTTTATTGGTGGGGGTTAAAGAGTCTCTCTAACCTTCAGGGATTTCCTAGTCCAAATAACGTTACTCATTTTGAAACTGTCATCATTTAAGGCACATTTACAGTTTAAGACACTTGTGCAAATGTGTAGCTTCTGTGTTTTATTACTGTTGAAGTATCCTATAAAGCAATAACTTTATAGTTTATAAGCAAAAGTCTTAGCATTGTATTACTTTTGTTCATTGCAAACAACTTTTCTTCCAGCTAGCTATGTTTTCTTTCATTAGGGACATTCAGACTATTGAAAAATTAGTTAAGTACAATCGTAACAAATAATAATACCATTTTCAAGGAGCTTTTAACATGGAAGTTGGTGCATTCAGCTTATTCATTGCTTATCAGAATAGCAAGTAGGAAACGGCTTATAGTTACCTCCATCAACTTAAATTCTATGTCAAATTATTTATTTTCCTGGCACCCAAAGTCAAATATTAGTGCCCTTGTCATCCCTTATTTTGTTTTGTTTTCTCTGTGCAAGATTAGATATGTGAGCCTAGAAAGAAGACTTAAAAAAGTATCTTCACAGCATAATTTGCCTAGTTTCTTAAGATTAAAAACCCTTGAGAGAGAAAAACAATCAAACATACTGCGTGGTCTTTGTTTCCTGGTTTAAAGAGAAGCTATCCAAGACATTTCTAGGGTAGCTGGAGAAATTTGAATACAGACTGGAGTGTTAGGGAATTATTAGTAATGTTAGATGTGATAATAGTATTGTAGTTAATGTAGGAGAATGTCCTTATTTGGAAATGTATGCTGAAGCGTGTATATTTGAAGTGTTACGATGTCTGTAATTTACTTTAAAATAGTTCAGCTGAAAAAAAATCTGTAAACGAAAGAAGCAAACACAGCAACATGTCAACAGTTGTTTATCTAGATGCTGTGTATATGGGTGTTCATTGTTCTTGTCTATTTCTCTGTATGTGTGAAATTTTTCATAGTAAAAATTTTTTAAAAGAGTACCTATCCCACAGTAAAGTAGTGAGGTATTAGATGTGAGGCACTTGGCTCAGTGTCTAGCACACAATAACTGCACAATAAATGTTCATTATTATTTATAACAAATACAGTAGTGTTTTAATAGTACTTATTGACATTTATTTTCCGTTTTCCCTCGTGGAGGGAAAAAATAAACTTAGTGGGAAACACCAATTTCAGTAACGTTAGGAGAATAATTTATAAAGCCAGTAAGGTAAAGCAAAACCTACCAAGAGCTTTTTCTCCTTGCCATTTCCTTAATATCACTCAAGGATAGAAAGCACCTGATTTCCACATGTTATTGTGAACATCCTCTCATTACTTCATGCTATTACTTCGTGCATGAGTAGATTTATTTGTATTTATCTATAGTTAGTGTTTGAATTTTGCCATACTGTGTTCCTGAGAACTCCATTTAAAAAGTCATTGTGGAGCTGATTTTTCTTAAGGAACAGTAGGGTCTTGCTTACCCGGCAATAACCTACGTGCCCTACGGTAGCCGTGTATCCCCTGGCCTCCTTCCAGGGTGACGTCAGCCACCTGGTATTATAGTGATCCAGGGCCTGGCCAACCCAGATCTGCTTATCTCAAAGAACATCACATCTTGAAGGAACACAGAGCCCTTCCACGTGAGCTACTGGTCCTTGCAATACTGGTCATCGAGGACAGTCCCTCTTGGCAGGAATGTAGTCTTTGTTCCCCTGCCTACTTAAGCAACCCCCTCAGTTCTGGGTAGTGGTGTGCAACTCTGTCCAGCTGGCTGCTCCTATGCTCCTGGTACGTAAGTTCCCAGTAAATGTACACTGTCTCCAGGTCTTTTCTTCCATCTCTCTGCTGCATATCTGGAAGTGCTTGCCCAATTAGGTGTGTTGTCAGACAGTTGGTGAGCCAGCCAGGAGACCGAGGAAACCCCAGTGAGCACTGAGACTGTGGGCAATGGGAAGGGGAATTCTGTGCAGGAAATCCCAGGTTGGCTGGCATCCTTGATGTGGGGGCCGGTCACTGCCATCATAGGTGGGTGGGGCCCACCTTGTGAGTATAGGGACACCCTAAAAACGCCAGAGGGCCTAAGGGAAGTCCTGGGCACAATAGATGTAGGGAGGAAGAAATCAGAAGCCTGGGCTGTTGCAGCAGTTGTGGGGTGGCCCCTCCTCACTCCGGTAAGGCTGCAGCAGAGGCCAAGATGGAAACAAAAGCAAAAGTAAGGCAGTTGCAAGAAGAACTGAAGTTAGAAAGAGAGGCTCAACTGGTGCAAGCCAAGACAACTAAGGCACCGTGTACTCGCCTGTGGGAATCTGATGAGAAAATGGAGACACTAGCCTGTCATTTTGCTAAAATTAAGGGTGACAGCTACCATGGGCGAAAGTGTAAGCCCTTGTGACCCAAGGAGATCGGAACCCAAAGCAATGGGACCCATGGGAATCTAGTAGTGAGGAAAGTGAGGATGCTGCAGGATGGGATGACCCAATAGAAGTACCTGTCCTGGTGGCATGTCCAATTGTCACCCAAAAAATGGAATCAGAACAACCCTGGCCCCCGGGGTTGATCCGACCGAGTTACCCTCGCTGGTTTGGCATGTGCCCTCTCCTATGCAGGATTACCCCACTGCCAAATTGGTAGAACTAGGAAATAAGTTTAGACAGAAAGGGAGGGAAAGCATTCCCGGGTGGCTTTTGCGTCTCTGGGATACTGAAGCGGAAGGTATTTTGCTGTTAGGAGTGGAGATGAGCAAAATGGCTTTCATCACTTCTCACCCCACCCTACTGCAACGCCTCTCTAGCGTTGTCAATGAAGATCAAGCGTCTCCCTCTTGACTTGGTTGATGGCTGCCTGTAAGGGGGCCTGGCCTAATGAAGGGGACATACCTATGCCTCCTCCCCGGTGGCAGACCATGGAAGAATTACAGGATTTGTTTAGGGCACTAAGCATGAAACGTGCAGTTTATGCCAAACATTACCGAGGGCCTGACAATGAACTATTCAGTGCAGGAATGAAAGACACTGTGTTACAGACAGCTCAGAGCCAATGGTATGTGGCTTTAGTCTGCATCCTAAACCCCTTGGGAGGTCAACCAGTGTCCCAGGCAGCCCAAGCTGCCGCTGACCTGGGGGAGACAGATGAGTTCAGGCGGAGGGGAGTGAGGGCTCCTGGGCCCCCCAGAAGAACAGGCAACAAAGGAGCCAAAACCACCAAGAGCTCTATCAGAGTAACACGTAGACATATGTGGCAAGGCCTGGTGGCAGCAGGCACCCTTCTGGGAAAAGTTGATGGACAACCAAACACTGTTCTGCTGGCTTTGTGGCAGAAGCTGGAGCCAAAACAAAGATTCATGAGGCCACCCACAGAGCACCCCAAACCAGCAGCACCCCCAGCTACAGCCTAGGAACACTCTAGCCCCTGTGACTAGGGGAAAGGCCAAGGGACCCCTCAGCACACCCCTGTAACACTGTGCAGGTGGCCCAGGTATCAGGGGACCGGAGGCCACATGTGGAAATAACAATATAATGGTCTACTAAAAATAAACATATGGTTTTAGTGTATACAGGAGCAGAATGTACTCTGATTCATGGAAATCCATCCCGTTTTGATGGCCCTATTTCTGTCATAGATGCTTACAGTGGGGGCACAGTCAAGGTGAAACTGGTGCTGCTAGTGCTGTGGATACGGCGTCTCCTGCCAAAATGATATATGGTATATATTGCCCCCATACCCAAATACACCCTGGGAATGGGTGTCCTCACTGGCCTGACCCTACAGACTACTGCTGGAGAATTCCACCTTCAGGTCCACTTGGTTAAATCTGTCATAAGGGGACATGCCAAATGGACCCTGGTCAGCTTGCCCCAACCATGTTGTGTGGTGATGATAAAACAGTATTGTCTCCTCAGGGGAGAAGATGAAATCACAGGAACTGTACAGGCATTGGCAAAAGTGGGAATCATTAGACCCACACATAGTCCGTTCAAGAGCCTGGTGTGGCCCATTCGGAAGCCAGATGGTTCCTGGCGAATGACTGGGGACTGTCGAGAATTAAACAAAGTGATGCTGCCTACGTATGCCGCCATCCCCAGTATAGCCTCCCTCTTAGAAAAATAGGGGATGCCTTGGGAACATACCATTTTGTTCTGGACCTTGCTAATGCCTTTTTCAGTATCCCCTTGGATGAAGGTAGTCAAGACCAATTTGCCTTTACTTGGCAGGGCACACGATAGACTTTCACTGTTCTGCCTCACGGGTATCTCCATAGTCCCACAATTTGTCATGGTCTTGTGGCCGCTGACTTGGCCCAGTGGACACAAACCCCTAATGTTGCCTTGTTCTGTTATATCAATGATGTCATGTTAAGCTCTGAGTCTTTTTCAGACCTCTAGGAAGCCTCCTGCTCCCTCATCACCCTCCTACACCAACAAGGATGGGTGGTAAACGACAACAAATTACAAGGGCCTGGGTTATCTGACATGTACTTGGGGATTGTCTGGTCGAGTAAGACAATAGTGATTCCTGCTGCTGTTATAGATAAGATACAGGCTTTCCCTACACCCAGCACCCCAAAACAACCACAGACCTTTCTGTGCTTAGTAGGTTATTGGCGCCCTTTCATTCCTTGTTTAGCCTAACTACTCTGCCCTCTTCATAAGTTGGTACGAAAGGGTGTTATCTGGGACTGGGGGACCACTGAGCAGGAGGCCTTCCCCCAAGCTAAAATAGCAGTAAAACACATTCAGTCTTTGGGTGTTTGAACCCAAGGACAATCATGCGAATTGGACGTTCCCAGTTGTCCAGAGGGGTTCGGATGGGGTCTCTGGCAGAGGCAAGGCAACAAATGAGTTCCCCTTGGCTTCTGGTCACAATTGTGGAAAGGGGCTGAAAGATGATATAGCACCCTGGAACAACAATTATATGCTATTTATTTGGCCCTCCAACAAGTGGAGCCCATAACCCATTCCCTGCCGGTCACAGTCCGTACCCATCTGCCCATTGTAGCGTGGCTGCAAGATGCTTTCCAGAAGCCACATTCAGGAACAGCCCAAACACAGACATTGGCAAAGTTGCATGCCTACTTACAACAACGAGGGACCTTTACTAATAGTCCCTTAAGTGTGGAATTGCTTGCCATCCTATGACCAGTGACGTAGACCACAGAAGAAGCAACCCTGTTGGATGAAGTGCCCACACCTGAAACCCTCCTGAATGTATGGGAAGGAGAAGGACCAATGCCCGTGGAGGCCTGGTATATAGATGGCTCCACAGGAGAGGCTCCCCCACTGGCAGCAGTGGCCATTCAGCCTTTGCCAAGAGCTTGTGGTTGGATTCTGGTTCTGGGTATGGTAGTCAGTGGGCCGAATTGCTGGCCACCTGGATGGTACTGACTCAAGAACCCGATCCAGTACATCTTTGTATAGACAGGCAGTCTATAAGGGACTCACCCCGTGGATGGCCCAATGGGCTTGACAAAAGTGAACCATCAATGGTCACCCATTATGGGGGGCAGAGCTCTGGGATGATATCTGGCAGCAGGTCCAGGGAATGATGATAACAGTGTATCATGTATCTGTACATCAAGTGACAGTGCCACCAGGAAACCAACAAGCAGACGGATTAGCCCAGATTCGTCTCCTAGAAGAAGTACCAGCTGAGAGAGTGGCAGAATGGTTACACTAGAAGACTGGACGTAAAGGACAGAGGACCCTATGGACTTTTTTCAAGGCCTGGGGCCTCTCCCTACGCTGTGCTGATGTAGTATGGGTCACCAGGCGTGCCCTTTTTGTTCCTTGCGGAGACCCTGGGCCATTCCTCAGGATGTAGGCTAAATCACCAGAGGCAACCAACCCATCCAATGCTGGCAGGTGGATTACGTTGGACCCTTAACCTCTCTCCAACAGTTGCCAATGTGCCTTTAATTGCATAGACACATATACAGAACTGCTGCAGGCGTACTCCAGCACACGGGCCACACTGAAGACCACCATAAGAGGCCCAGATCACCTCAGCACTGCTTATGGTGTTCCCATGGACATCAACAGTGACCAAGATACTCATTTTACTGGCCACCAGGTACAAACATGGGCTGACCAAATGGACCATACATTGGCATTTTCACCAGCCATACAACCTCACAGCCACGGGGCTGGTAGAACAAATGAATGGCTTGCTGAAACAACAATTAAGGACAGAAGAAAGGACCCTAGCCCACTGGCTGAGATGCCTAACAACTGCAATACGTCAACTAAATGAACATGAGAAACATACCCGACCCAGCGCGTATCGGATGTTGATACAAGGACCCGATCCAACTGTATGCCTACAGACAAGAGCCCACTAAGTAGAAACTATACAACCACAAATAGGCACTCAGAACAACTTGCTTATGCCTTTGCTATAAGAACTCCTTACTAGGACCCACGTGATCACTTGGCCCTGGGACTGCCAGGTGGAGCCCCACTGGTGTGGTCTCTTAGCCACTTGGGGGACAGGCTTAGGACAAGATAGTAACAGCTTTTATTGTGGGAGGACCACCCAAAACCTCCAAACTTAGTAATCCAGGGCCTCCAATTCCCTAAGGCACTTTCATCCTGTCCCTCTGGTGGTGGTGTTCCTCCCTTATCCTACACCATTGCCCCTGTGGCGCCCAACCCAACAGGACAAGTAGTATGATATTGCTGTCCTCATCTAAAACCATAGGCCAGTACCACACTAACGCAAGACATTGCAACCACGTGTGTCTTGTTGGATGGTCATGATCTCCCTGTTTTAATTCCCTCTAAATGTCTTACCTTTTGTCCTTAGGACAAGGTCTGCCAACCTCTTCACTGATTGGGCGTACGTCGTTGCTCACAAAATGGCTCCAACTGCTAGGTATGTAGCAGGCAGCCTCTCTCTTTGACCACGTAGTTACCATGGCATCTCCAAGCTGCCAACGACTGACTGGAGAGCCCTGCAAGATTGGAGGAATGCTTACCACATTCCTGTTCCTCCTCCCCTCCCACCAGCAGCCTTTCCTTGCCCTCTTATAATACCTCTTGAGATCATATGTTTCAGCTTGTGCGTGAGCAGGTTAAGACAACCCCAAAAGCGGAATACTCCGTTTTTGATGGTGTAAGATGGTTGCAATGCTCCTCTATGTGTCTGGCCTGAGGGGATCCATGGAAGAATGGTGTGATAAGATTGTAAGGGCCATTTGGACACATAGCGGGGTGGAGTGTAGGATCACACTTGCCCAGCAATAACCTACGTGTCCTATAGTAATCGTGTCCCCTAGCCTCCTTCCTAGGCATGACGCCAACCATCTAGTAGTGTAATGATTCAGGACCTGGCCAACCTGGATCTACTTATCTCAAAGAACATCATGTCTTGAAGGAACACAGAGCCCTTCCAGGTGAGCTACTGGTCCTTGGAATGCTGGTCATGTGAGGACAGTCCCTCTTGGCAGGCATGTAGCCTTTGTTCCCCTGCCTACTTAAGCAATCCCCTCTCAGTTCTTGGTAATGGTGTGCAACTCTGTCCAGCTGGCTGCTCCTGGACTCCTTGTGTGTAGTTCCCAATAAACTGTTAAGCTCATACACCATCTCCGAGTCTTTTTTTCGGTCTCTTCCACTGCGTTTCCAGAACTGCTTGCCCAACTAGGTGTGCAGTCAAACAGGAACAGTTTGTAATTGAGATTTATTTTCCTAGTCAAGGACTTCATGTCAAAGAAACTGTCAAAGTGGCCTACTGTCAGACGTTGGTCCAACATTTACAAAGATCTGTATTCGCTTAAAGAAATAATATCCTAAGTCAGTAGAATTTTGAAGCAGAAAAGGCAAACCTCAAATCTCCTTTTATGTGAAGAAATTGAGGCCAAGCAAGGTGATTTGCTGAAAGTCACACACAATGTTAGTGCCAGATTTAGGAATAAAACTATTTTGCACTTAAAAAATTTGGCCAAGGGGGCTGGCCCCATGGCCGAGTGGTTAAGTTCGCACGCTCTGCTGCAGGCGGCCCAGTGTTTCGTTAGTTCGAATCCTGGGCGTGGACATGGCACTGCTCATCAGACCACGCTGAGGCAGCGTCCCACATGCCACAACTAGAAGAACCCACAACGAAGAATACACAACTATGTACCGGGGGGCTTTGGGGAGAAAAAGGAAAAAATAAAATCTTTAAAAAAAAAAAAATTATAAAAAAAAACCCAAAAACATGCTTTAAAAAAAAAAAAAAATTTGGCCAAGTGTTTGTATGGATGATCCAAGGAGCTGTATTATTGTAAATTGTACCCATACCACAACTCTGTAGCAGTACTGCTGGGTCATAAATAAATAGAGTTCTTTAAATAATGTAAATATATAATTAGCCATGATTCTTTTTACATCATTGGAATTTGAAAGTGCTTTTGAGAAATTTTTTATTTGAATAATGCCTTTCTTTAACATGATATGCAGAGCCTTTGCCCAGTCCAGAGCTGTGCCATGGCAGAGACTGAGGAAGAGGAGATGGTGTCAGCAGAGGCCTCAGGGTTCTCAGACGTGAGTGACTCAGAGTTTCTAGAGATTCTGGACCTGGATGATAGCCAAGAGTCAAGTGCTTCACTTAGCAATCCTGGCCCTTCATCTGAACTCCCTGGGAAGGATGGCAAGCTCATAAGCTTACCAAAGGGGAAAAGAGGATTGGATGTCTCATCACCCATGGAGCGATTCCACCTTAACTATTTGTATGTCACTGACCTGTCTACTCAGAACTGGTGTGAACAGCAAATGATATATGGGAAGGAGGTTCCTGATTTCCTGGTACCTGAGAAGGCAGCTGTTTTGGATACTGGTGCCAGCATCCACCTAGCTAGAGAACTAGAAGTTCATGATCTTAGGACTGTCCCCATCACCACTAAAGAAGATGCTTGGGCAGTTAAGTTTCTGAACATGTTATTGATGATTCCTACCCTGCAGTCAGAAGGACGCATCAGAGAGTTTCCAGTGTTTGGAGAAGTGGACGGTGTGCTGCTTGTTGGAGTGATTGATGAGCTACACTATACAGCCAAGGGAGAACTGGAACTGGTTGAACTCAAGACACGCAGGCGCCCTGTGCTCCCTCTGGAAGCACAGAAGAACAAAGACTATTTTCAAGTCAGCCTATACAAATACATCTTTGATGCCATGGTACAAGGGAAAGTGACCACTGCTAGCCTAATCCACCACACAAAATTGCATCCAGAAAAGCCACTGGGACCTTCAGTGCTGAGGCATGCCCAACAGGGAGGCTTCTCTGTGAAGTCCTTGGGTGACCTCATGGAGCTGGTCTTCTTGTCTCTGACACTGTCTGACCTCCCAGTTATTGATATCCTGAAGATTGAGTATATCCACCAAGAGACTGCCACTGTTCTGGCTACGGAGGTTGTGGCCTTTGAAGAGAAGGAGGTGAGAGGCAAAGTGCAGCACTGCATGGCCTACTGGATGGGCCACCGAGAGCCCCAAGGGGTTGATATAGAGGAGGCTTGGAAATGCCGGACGTGCAACTATGCAGATATCTGTGAGTGGAGGCAGGGCGGTGGGGTGCACAGCTCCACGCTGGAGCCCCAAGCCAAAAAAGCCAAATGAGGAGAGGGTATGCCTTCGGGAACTTTGATCCTTCCTGCTCCTAATGTATTTAACAGAGTAAAAGAGGACCAGTCTCTGAGCTTGGCTTTCATGGAGAGTGTTCTTATTTTCATACTTTTCATATTTCCTCAACCTCTAACTACTCAATTCCAGGACCAAGGCTCAGGGATGAGTGGGCGAGATCTGGGATTATACAGTATTGTCCCTGGAGCTTTGCTATTGAGTACCAAGAAGACAGATGCTCATCATGGCTGGAGCAGAGGTACCCTTCAGCAATCATTGCTTTCCTAAGAAGATTCTTCAGTTTCTAAGTCTCTTCCCTATTTTTTTTCCTCAATCAAGGCTTTCTACATTTTATATAATAAAATAAAATGTAATGTTGTCCAGGTTGGTTGAGCTGATGGTTTTTTTCCACAATCTCAGTCCTTCAAAGATGACTGCTATAAATAGTTGTGTGTTATTCCAAGCCTTTAAGTACATACATAAACATTTCTGAAGCAGAATTAGTGGAATGAGCAGACCAAGAATTTTAAATATGCATAATAAATGTGCTCAATGAAATAAGGGAAAAGGAAGCAGAAACATGCAGTCATTAAAAATTGCAGTATTAGATATGAAAAATATAATACGTGAAGTAACATGTAGCATTCACACACTGTACAATCCAGCAATACCACTCCTAAGTATAGACTAAGAGAAACCCTTATACAAGTACAACAGGAAATCTGAACGAGAATATACTTTGTGGCACTTCCACAATAGCAAAACCTAAACCTAGAAACTACCCAGGTGCCCATCAGAAGAGTGGATGATGTGGTACAGCAGCCAAAAGAAATGAGCTACAATGACATGCAGCAATGTGGATGAATCTTAGCAGCACAATATTAAGTGAAAAAGTAAGTCCCAAAAGGTTACATAGGGTATGATACCCTTTTTATAAAGTGAAAAACAAAAAAAAATTTAAAACATTTTAAGGAAAATGTAAAGATAGTAGAGAGGAATCTCAGTGCATCTTAGAAGGCAATGGGGCCCTTAGCTGCAAACATCTCCAAAGAGGCCAGAGGAAAGAGTGATATGGACATCACCTGGAAGATGAAGGCTTGTTTATGGAAACACTTCTGGAGAATTTGCAAAAGTAGATGGAAGGGGAGAGGAGTTGGCAGGGGTGGGGTTTCTATATTAACTGGAGGGCCAAGAGCCAGCAGAACATGGCGAATATTGTTAATGTGGCTCCATGTTATACATGAACTGATAAAACCTGGACGTTTATAGGAGATGAAATAGGTTGCCTCTGGAGGCCAACTGAGGGATAATGGGAATCTGGTGATACCTCTTCCTGTATACTGAGTGAGTGTCATGTGCCAGGCTCTGTGCTGAGCACAATTTATGATTAAACCTATGTATCCATTATCCCTGATGAGGAACTGAGACTTAGAAGGGTTATAAAACTTGCCCAAGATCCCACAGTTTGAAAGTGGTAGACTGTAGCCTAGGTATGTTTGCAGTGCTTTTGGCTTAACCATTATGCTGTAAAGTTTTTCTTGCTGCTGTTAAGCCTGTTGTGCTGTATTCGATTCTAGGCCCTGGGAAGTTTGGAATAAAATTGGCATAGTGAACTGGACCTTATGGGATAAACAGTATCCAGCCAATAGTCTTCAAGAAAATAACTTGCTCAGGGTTCTGGCCTCACTTTAGTTATACTGGAAGCTTTAAGTAGAGGAAAAAGAGAAAATTAGTTGGTTTCAGACAGTGACACTGTCAGAATTCAGCAATTCTGCAGTTCAGTAGTTCCCTGAGCTCTCAAGTCCTTTTTTTAAATTAACATCTTCTAGTTATTGCTTTATGGTTTCTCACAAAATAAGTAGAGGCATGTGTAGTTGGGATCACCCCAGGATCACTGATGCTGTTCTCTTCATCAGATACTTCCTTGGTTTGTAGCCTCCGCATATCTGATAATGTCATCTCTCCCTTGTGAATTCTGCTGAAGTTGTGTGAACTCCAGCTTATGGACCTATTGGATGTTTGTTCAGTGAGAGAGACATCACAATAAAGCTATTTCTTGATTTTTTTTTCTTCTCAGGCCAGAGAATGGGTTAAATACATTAATTAGGATTAGGTTCAACTGTTCATAATAGAAATTGCCAAAAAATAGTGGTTAAACAAAATAGAAATTTTGTTCTCTCTTATGAAAAATAACCCTAAATATAGTTAGTTTAGGGCCTCATGGTGTCAGGACCCCAGGTTCCTTCTCTCTCATTTCTCTAACATCAACAAGTATCTTCCTACTTTGTAGTCCAAAATGGCTGCCCAAGCTCCAGTCACCCATTGCACATTCAGCATAAAGCTGAACTGGAAAAGAGCATCATTGTAAGGACACTTCCTAAATTGGTACCACCACTTCCACTTACATTTCACTGGCCAAAACTTGGTCACCTGGTCATAGCCAGCTGCAAGGAAGGTTGGGATATGTAGTTTTTATTCTGAGAAAGCATTTGCCCAGACACAAACTGGAGAGTCTATTAACTGCAAAAAAGGGAGAATGGATATTGAGTGACAGCTTGGAATCTCTGCCCCATTGAGATTTTCAGGAATAGAGCTGGCACTTTTTACCTTGTTAAGGACCCTACACTCTTAGGGAAAAAAGGAAGAGATGAACATGACTTGTCCTAAATTGGCCCCACAACTCCATCCTGGCACCAAAATGTATCAGAACTGACAGTTGTAGGTTAAGGCTCATAATTTTAAAAATCTGATGTCGTCTGCTAGATGCAGTCTGGACAACTTTCCCTTCGTTGTATGTTCTGGGGCAAAAGCATCAAGTTGAGAGGGTCACCTTTCAGAATTTGATACTTAGAAACCCATTGAAGGCCTGCAGGAGGTGCAGAACCTCAAGGCCATGAGATTCTTGGAGGCTTAACTAATGATTCTGGGCATCCTGAGGCATAAAGAAGAGAGCAGGTTTGAGAAGATCCAGCCAAAAGAGGTTCAGTTCCGGCCCTCAGGCTTTGTATAGTCTAGCAGAGAATACAGACAAGTAAACAGGCAGTGACAGAGCTATGTAATAAGAGCTGGTATAGGGTGTACAAGATACTAGAGACTCACAAAAGGAAATCTACACCAGACTTTTGAGGTCAGGACAGCTTTCTGGTAGAAGAGAAGACTGCTAAGAACTAAACAGAGTGAATTAGCTGACTCGAGAGAGTTTGAGCAATAATTCTTCAGGCAGAGAGTGGTATGTGCAACAGCCTGGCAGATATAGAACGTAGTGGGTTCAGGAATCAAAGAAGTTTATTAAACTTAGGCAATAGGATGAAGGGAAGTGGGAGGAGATGAAGCTAAAGAGGTAAGCAGAGCACAGATTATGTAAAACCTTATAAATCTTGTTGAGAATTTTGGAGTGAGAGTTGATGAATTTCCTGCCTGCTTTCCCCTAATGTCTCTTTTTCTCAATTTTCAATATCTTGAAAAGTTTTTAAATTGTAAAATACGTAACATAAAATTTGCCATTTTAACCATTTTTACACATACTGAATTCAGTGGCATTAAGTACATTCATGCTGTTGTGCACCCATCTCCAGAAGGTTTTCATCTTCCCCCACTTGAAACTCGGTACCCATTAGACATCACCTCCCCATTCCTCCCTCCCCCAGCCCCTGCAACTACTATTCTCCTTCTGTTTCTATGAATTTAACTACTCTGGGTATCTCATATAAGTGGAATCATTCAATATTTGTCCTTTTGTGATTGGCAGGTTTCACTTAGCATATGTCTTCAAGTGTTATCCAGTGTTATAGTGTGTGTCAGAATTTCCTCCTTTTTTAAGACTGAATAATATTCCGTTATGTCAATATCTTTTAAAAGTAAGTGGGAGCAAAGCAGGATTCTAGAGGAGGAGCTGACTTGGTAAAAGTTATATTGCAGAATTATTTATCTCAGATCTGAAATCAGAAATATTGTAGTGGTATCAGTCCACCACATTGTGTGGTTGTCAGCTCCTCAAATGTAGAAGCAGACAATGCAGAGAGGTCCTGTTGGCACATAAGAAAGGGGAGGCTGCAAGCCCTGAAGGTCTAGATGAAGTGAAAAATGAGCTGTATTGAATTCTAGTTCAGTATCCTAGAAATAATGATGATTAAGCCCATAAGCAGAATCTCTGAGTGTGGGGCACAAGTAAGCTAAGAATCATCCTAGCCTCAGTTTCTCCAGCTGCACTGAATGTCCCTTCCACCCTCCTTGAATAGACTCCAAAAGCCCTAACCTTCATGGGATGTATTTATTGGGAGTATCTTTTTGAGTCTTTGGCTTGTGTTTTTACTCTATCGTGGTGTCTTTTGAGGAACAAAATTTTAATGAAGCCCAGTCTCAATGTTTGTTAGTGCTTTTTGTGTCCCATTTAAGATACGGTTTCCTACTTCAACACACCTTGCTTCTTTTACTTATCAATTTATTTTGAAATTGTTTCATATTAGTATTTATAGTTTACCTCTTCCCTCTTAGCAGCTGCAAAGGATTGCTTTGTAAAGATATATTATTATTTATCTAACCAGATCTCTATTTATATACATTTAGTTTATTTCCTTTCTTTTTCTACTACAAACACTATAATAATATATAAAGTAGAAAGTGAAAGTTGCTGTGACATACACACCTAGTAATCCTGAACCCCAAAATAACCATTGATAGGAAGCTGATAAGATTCTTTAAGATATTTTTATGGACATATCAACATATATTTAAGTATAAAACAAATATGTGTGTATTGGGGTGTATGTGATTAGACACATAAAATAATCCTTTGTCACCTCCCTGTTTCTGTTAAGTTTTATCATGGGTATAGTTTCATATCAATAGCTGGATAATATAGTATTTCATTGTATGGTTGTAATATAATTCACATAATTATCCCTTCTTTATAGGCAGATATAGGGGCAAATATAGACACAAATGTATATAGCCTATATATGTCCATTGATAATGTGAATATTTTTCTGATTTTCTCCCTCTTACTCCCAGGCCAAGAAATTTTGGGTTATAAGATGTGCACATTTAAAATACATCTGGATCCAGATTGCCCTCCAGAAATAGTATAACTTTGGACTCCAAGATCCCTCAAATCCTTACATTATCATCATATGATATAATAACTCAAATTATTTTCCAGAAGGAAGCACATAAAAGTGTATGTTCTTCCACACCCTAATGCTAGTATTATAATTCTTTTTAAGTGATGCCAACATGATGGATAATTGATATCTTAACCTTAGTATTGTTTTAATTTGCACTATTCACATAACCTGGGAAGATGCATATCTGTCCTTTACTTATTGGTAATTTGTATTTCTTTTATGAATTGACTGCTCATATTCATTGCCCATTTATAATGAAG